ATGGATTTTAGACATGACTCAGGGGAGTGCCAGCCTACAATCCCACTGCTAGAGTCTAGGAAACAGAACCTACATCCAGCGACTGATGAAAGCAGAGGCAGATACCCACCGACAAACACTGAACTGAACTCCTGGAATCCAGTGACAGAAAGGGAGAACTGATGGGCAAGAGGGTTAAGACTGGGCTGGTTTAACCCACAGAGAACACTGACCTGAACAAGGGGGAGCTCTTGGACTCCAGATTGATGGCTGTGTGGAAAGCACTGGACTGATCCAGACCCCCTGAATGTGGGTGTCAGTGGGGAGGCCTAGGTAATCTATGGGGCCATGGGTAGTATTTATCCCTGGCATACAAATAGACTTTGACTGCCCATCCCACAATATGGGAGGCTCTCTCAACCACGACTCTTGGGGGAGGGCCTAGGCCTTGCCCTGGATGAAATGACAGACTCTGGAGATCCTCCATAGAGAGCCTCACCCTCCCTGGGGATCGAAGTGGAGATTGGGTGGGGGACTAGGGAGACCTGGTGAGGAGGGCAGGGAAGGAGGGGAGAGAGAGGGAGCTGGGATTGACATGTGAAACATGATTGTTTTCTAACCTAAATTTAAAAAAAAATTTCAGAAAAAATCCTATGGAATAGGGATTATCATTTTAAATGTATGCTGTATATTATTAAATATATCATGACTTTCTATAATAATAAATAAATAAAACTTAAAAAACAATGTAATAAAGGGAGTATCACTAAATAACCAATAAAAGTGTCAGAGAGCACATAGAGAATATTTTCTCAGATACTACAAGTTAATTTTTAAAGTCAAATTAAAAGTTTATCAAAACAGAAATATATCATTTCCAAAAGTCTCATTCTATATATAATTATATATAATACGTAATCAGTTTTATTATGAATCATATTACACATAGATGAATACACAAATGCACATGAAACTTGCACATATGTAGAGATATGGTTTATATAGGCATATACAGACTCAGAATGACAAACATTAAGATACTCGTTCATCTCAAATGTCAGTCTATCAGTTTCCTGTATCTCTACTTGGGCCTCTCCAGAATCCAAGACGGCACAGGGGTCTTGATTCTCGACTGTCACACATAGCAAAAGATATTCTATGGTCATTCAGCTGGTAGGCTTCCAATTCAGCCGCATGCAAGTAGGTTTCTGAGAGATCAGAAAGGGCACACGTTTTCTGGTCCGAAAGAAATGAAGGTATCTTTGAAATGGTAAGCAATAAAAGGAAACAGAGGAAATGGAGGCATGCAGTGAGCAGGGGAAAACAGCTGGGGACACAGTGGAATGCAGCTGCGGAGGACACCCCAAAAGTTCTCCTCTGACATTCCAACACATGGAGGGAGAGCTGGGCGAACCGGTCAGGATCTGCCCCAGGAGGCTGGCGAGAGTAGGAAGTAGGTCTCATCTGAGAGTGTTAGCTGTGTCCTGTTCATCTCCCTCAAGGTCCACTTTTGGAAAGCAAGAAAGGTTTGGAGAAGGCTTACGTTGCAGTCGAATACCATGCCACTTTACATGTAAAATTAGAAATGCCAAGAAACACCTTCAGCACAATGCAGCCCCAGCTTTGTTCAACCCTTGCATCCGCTGCATGTTTCCTTGCTCTGTGGACAGTCCCCAAGAAGGTGGGACACTCGGTGACTTCACCTGCTTGAGCAGTTGTGTAATTTTGGCAGCTGCCCCTGTTTTGCCATCTGTGCCAAGGAATGTCAGAGCCAAGAGTGTCTGCCAAGAGGAGTCAAAATATTGCTGACAACCAGGACTTGGACTTGCTACAAATGGAGGCCTTCCAGCCCTCCAAATCAGCCAACAGCATTGTTGAAGGAGGGTGATAAATGGATTGAATGCATCTGCCCTTGTGAGCTGACAAAGGTCCAACAGGGTAAAAAATGACAGGAAGCCAGGCTTCTGGCATAGTCTGGGTAGGGTGTATAGGGTTCCACTGAAGCCTGGAAACAAGGTAAAGCGGATCAGAACCGTTTTTCCAGGGAATTTTCCCCCTCTAGGCAGAGGTCATAGCCCTTCCAATTGGTTGGATAACACATGGTATCTTGAGAACTAACCTGGAGAAGTGCTGCACGCAGTGAGAATTCCAGGAATATTATGCTGTTAAGACAAATGTGCTTGAAGAATGTGCCAGAGGGGCTGAGACAGTGAACTTATTCTGAGAATGCTTCTTTCATCTTTTCCAGCCCCTCTGGCTCAGTAACAGGTCACAAAACAGGAATTTCCAGATGTTCCTAAGGAACAAATTTTGTCATTGGAGCGTCAAGATGCTTCCACAAACACATATAAGTAATATATACATATATCTATAATAAGCAAAAATAAAGCAAAGAACTATCTGTAATTTTTATGTACAGCCATAAACTGTCAATTTTGGCTGTTACCTTCCATTTTTCCTATTTCCTACTTTAACCCCTACTGCCCCCCTGTGTGTGGGTGTGTGTGTGTGTGTGTGAGTGTGCGTGTATGTGTATGCATGTATGTGTGAGTCTATGTGTGTTTGTGTATGTTTGTGTGTGTGTGTGTGTGTGTGTGTGGTCACAAGGATATCTAGATCACCAAATCCAGTAGTCAGTTGTGAGTCCTCGGCTTTCGCAGACTCCCTGAATCGGCTGTCTCAGGGATTGTCCCTCTCTGAAATACCTTCTTCCCTTGGATTCCAAAACTGTGCACAGTTTACATTTCTTCCTTCTGTTTCATTGATCCTTGCTTTTTATTGTTTGTTTTAAAATGTTTTTGATTTTTGAGACATATTGGCTTTCGACTCAAGACCCTCCTGCCTTCGCCTCTTGGGACTGTAAGTGTGTCCAACCCTACATGGAGAGTTTATCTTAAATCCTGCCCCAAATCTTTCTTCAGACTTCTTGTACCACTTTGTTTGTACTCACTTGTGGCTTCATGACTGTAAATACCAGCTGCCGACCATGAACTTCCCCGTGTCTCTTACAGTGTCTTCCTTCTGAACTCGGGCCTTGCAGCTCTCTGCATCCACTTAGAGTTTTAGTAGACACCTCAAGTGTCCAAAATAGAACCTTTAAATCCATCCAAACTTTCTCACTACAAAAAGTCCCTCGCTAGCTCATCAAGCAGTAATTCCCAACTCTGTTTGCTCAGGCCAAACTCTGCTGTCATCCTCATCGTTCTTTCTCCCTCATATCCAAGTCATCGGCTGTCACTCAGAATGTACCCAGAATCCAAATACTCTTTATTCTGTCCTCTGCTACCACATGAACTTCTGCCTGGAGCTCTACAAAAGGCCCTAGAAGCATCTGCTCCCTTTCGCTTTTTGTGAGATCCCAACACAACAGAATGTAAGAAAGAGTCCACGGACTAAATGTCAAATTGCATGTGTTTCAAGCCCAGATAGTTCTGTTAGCTGTGTGGTACTGGGCAAGATACCTGCCCAGCATCTGTGCATTCTCGTGTGTGAAATGGAGCATTTGTAAGTCCTTTCTCAGGCTTGTTGAGGGAGTATTTATACCAAGATCATAAGTGATGGCATACAGTAAACACTGACAAAGTTTAAAAAATGACAAGGCAAGCGTTTTGGGCTAGAAGCAAAGATTTCCTTATCAATTCCGCATTTATATTTTTGGTTGTGAGCCTAGCCTTTAACAGCTGAGCCATCTCTCCAGCCCCAATTCTGCATTTAAAAACCACAGCACCAGTATTTTCATCTGTAAGAACTTAATGGTACTTGAAACATCTCTGAAAGCATAAAAACCAACCAACCACACAAACAAACAACAAAATTTTGGTCAACCAAACTTAAACGAATAACTCTGATTGTTCTGGTATATTTATTCTGAGTTGATGGTTAGAATGCATTACGTAACTTGATTTCCATTTTCAAGTATTTTGGTACTTCTTAAGCATCCTTGGCTTGTGTAGACAGTCATCCACTTCTTAATCCACATTTTAACACCTAAAATAGGTATGTTTTTCAGGTTGGCTTTAATGTGTGATGCTCTTCTGTTCTGCATTCGTATCTGAATCAACACAGTAAAGAGCAGTGCTCAGCACCTGTGCACAGACAGAATGGGCACAGGAGGGAAAACCAGCATGTGGAGTGTTAATTGGGTCATATAATTGACTTTATTAGAGAAAGAAAGTGAAGGTTCGATTTTGAACAAGGCTTTAATCATTTGAATTGTTTCTTGAGGGAAGACAGAGAAATGGCTATGGGTTAGGAGGCTACAGGTTGTTTTTTATAAAAAACAATCCGAGACTTTTTCCAACACAGAACACAGACCACACCTCCAGGGTCAGCTTCTAATACCCATGGGATGGAGGAAGAGCCTTCTACCCACTATTACACATGCCCAGAGTGTTGGGAGTGAGAACTCTGTGGAAAGAAGTCAAGTGTGTACTTGAAAGCAAGAGAAATCATGGGTTTGTTTAGAAACATAAAGGTGTTAAAGACATGTAGGGGACTTGTGAAAGGATTCTAATACTTGTTCATGATAATATAAATTTAAGAGTTTTATTTTATTCTTTAGAATATGTAACATGAACAGTTGTGCCACTATAGGTAGCTCTATGGGTTCTAAGTGGAATTTTAGTGTAAACTGGAAGTCATAAAGAACTCTGTGTCGGCTGGTCTGCAATCACCTTCATTTGCCAGTAGTATGCTGTTTCAAGCACAGCCTTTATTCTCCTAGTGAGAATTCCTTTGATAATGTGCAGGGAGAAGCAGTCTGATTGCTTCTGCACTCTGGAAACAAATGACCTCATTTAATGAGAACCTAGTTTTTAGGCAAGTTGCCACAAGTGTGAACATCCCATGGTATGTGTGTGTGTGTATATATGTATGTATGTATGTATGTATGTATGTATGTATGTATGTATTCATATGTATATATGAATAAAAGATGTTCAAATGAACCCTGCCTTTTATAAAATGTTATAATTTTTTGATAAACAGCTAATGCTTTTCCTCTTAACTTTTAACTTAAAAAGAAAATTAGCCCTGAAATACCATCCAGACAAGAATCCAGATGACCCATCTGCTGCTGAGACGTTTAAAGAAATCAACAACGCCCACACAATCCTCACCGACACGTCTAAGAGAAACATATATGACAAGTATGGATCGCTGGGACTCTACGTGGCTGAGCAATTTGGAGATGAAAACGTTAACACATACTTCATGCTGTCAAGCTGGTGGGCAAAGGTACATCACTTTTTTTTTCTTCAAAAACAATTTCCTGGAAGATCACAGTATTACTCACTCTTTTAGACCCTATCTCAAAGAAAGACCAACCTTCCTTCTATTAAACTCTTGTAAATAAAATGAGACATCACTTCCACTGAAAGCTGTTATTTGGGGACCATTTTTCTTCAGTCCATCAATTAATTATGAAATCCAACATGACTTAACAGACTTCTAGACATTAATTATATTTGAGTTTGGAGCTTCAGGTTAATTCTGACTGCTCCCTTCTTCTCCTGTGGTGACTAATTAAGAACTGACTCATTGCTCAAAACCCAAAATAATTTATTAGTGTGACAACTACTTAATAAATTATTATAAGACAAATTTAGCCATGTACTTTACTATCTATAGCATAGGCTACATCAGCAAAGACAATACTTAAGAGAATGAGTGGTAATTATGTTACAGGCTCAGCTGGAGCTGGCCTTGAGGTAGCAGAGAAGACACTGGGGGGAAAGGAGAAAATTAAGTATTAGAGGACAAGGAATTGGCAAGGGAGTGAGAAATTGATAGATATCCGGTTAAGAAAAAGACAATATAAAGACTTAATAAATCACAATTTTAGTAGTAGTCTTCCTTTCCAGGAACCCCTAATGTATATACATTTGGTGATGGCCTTATATTTTTATGAATTTTAGTATTATTTCTGATAAATTAATACGCTAATGTATTTTGTGGGTAGCTGACATTCATGTAAGCTGTGGTAAATAGCTTTTAAAACCCTGCTCTCAGAAAAGGCGGGATTCACATTGAGTAGAATTTTGACTGCTGTTTTCTCCCACTTCCCCTTCCTATTTGAATGTGAGAAGTGAGAGAGTATGTTTTTGTAGGTAGGCCTGGAGAGACAGTCTACAGAGCCACGCTTGTCTTCTGCCAGCTTTCCCAGATCCCACTGACCTTCCTCTGTGAGGAACTGGGAGAAAAAGATAGTGTGGAATGAATTTGGAGCATGAGGACAACAAAGTGGGCTTTGTGGGGTTCCTTGGGACCTTTCCTTCCAGGCATGACACTATTCCCATGGGAAGGAGAATCTGCATGCCCACTAGCCGCAGATGTTTACCTGATTGAATATTGTATCTTGTCTGTCCTGGATCGTCTTGTCCAGGAGGCTGAAGAAACTAATAAAAATTTCTACAGACAAGCCTCACCCACTCGGTAGCAAAGACATAAGAGACAAAGCAGTTACAGGCACAGTTCTGTAAAAAGAAGTGTGCTTCTCTTTCCTGCTGCACCAAAGTGGTGCTAGCCAAAGTGGAACTAAATATGCTCCATATGAGTGAATCAATGGACCACCCAGATGTACATTTAAAAGTACCAGATACCTGCTTGTACCTAACAGGGTCTTGAATGTGGTAAGGGATGAAGTAAGGCTGTTTCCCACAAAGCCAATGTCCTGGAGACAGAAGCAGGACAGAGTTGAAAGGGGGCTATCAGAAAACAATATGGAGGTTGCACAAAGAAAGTGGGTAAATAGAGGTGAAGAATTCTCAGTGGTCCTTGAGGGCCAGGGATGGAGAATGCTTACAGCAAGGTCTTGGAGGCAAATGAGGGTTTTAAATTTCCCTAAAACGATGAAACCATGGAAACACATAGCAAAGAGACTGTAAATGTGTGTGATTATAGGTCCCTTTCTGCAAGCCATCTTCAGTAATAAGTAGACGGGTAATGAGGAGAAGGAAGGTGGGGATATCAACACTGAATTCTTAGGTCGCTGAAGAAGTGTGTATGCATATATGTGATCTTTATCCGTGTCTCACCCCAACTCACTGATTATATAAAAATCTGCATTAAGATGTGCAAACTTCTTTATGTATGATAATAAATTTGGTTTTTCTCAGTTGACAAAAAAGTGATTTTCTTGGAATTTCAGATTGGGGAAGTCAAGAGAAAGTGTCTCCTGTTTAGTGAGCAAGCCATTGGTGCTCATGCAGAGATCTTGGTGCTGTTCCCTGGGAGGAACAAATGATTTGTTTGCCTATTATTTTGTATACTCGTTAATTCAGTAGGAACTGGGTGTCTGCAACACATCAGGTAGTAATCCACCAGGCCCATGGGGCTGAAAGGTGACTGATGTTTGTAACCTGTAAGACATTCAGCCTGGTATAATGAGATGGACCTGTCAGCCAGTCTGGGTTCCAATTGTCAGCAAGAACAGAGTAGAGATCTCAGTTGGCCTGACCTACAATTAGAATCTGAAGGACAGGCAGTCATTGTTTTGGAGTGGAATCAGGAAAGCCATCATAAGGGTGGTTTTTGAGGCCATCTTAGACATCAGGTGGGTGTGAATGGAAGAATGGGCAGGGATGCCTAGGCAAGCAAACACACACAGAGAGTCAAGCTATGTGGCGGGAAGAGGGCTGTGCTAGTGCGGGGAGAGTTGGCAGAAACCCACTGCATGAGTTCCAGAGAACAAGGGTCTCACATAATTCATTCCAGCACCCCAGCACAGGGTGGGGTCAAAGGAAGCAAGGGTGAAGGTAGAGCAACCAACAGGATGCTCTTGAAGGGACACCAGGGACCCTGAGCAGAATCAGCAAAGCCCCCTAACCCAAATAGGGAGGAGAGTGAGGATGTAGGGATGTCCTGGAGAGGCTATGCAGGAGCAGGTTACTCACAGGCACCTGAGGCTGCAGGGAAGGCATTACAAGAGCACTCCCCTGCAGTGCACTCTCTTGGGGGTGATGACTGGCCTCCATGAACCAGTCAGTGGAACTCGTTCACTTGAACAGTGGGTATTCTGTCCAGAGATTGGTCAGGTGTTTGTTTCACTTTTCTCCCTCTTATTACTCAAAATAGCCTAAGAAGAGAGAAGAAAAGGTGCCAAGCTTCACTAATCTGACGGAAATTAATTTCCTCTAGGTCTCATTTGTACAAACGTTTGTGAGGGGAAAAAAGTTATTTAAAAGGAACGTACAAGATGGTTTTTGCAGGGGTGAGGATAAGAGTGGGTGTGTGGATGCATGGCATGTTGAGATGTTGTCACACCTCTGAGGTACATAGTTAGTTACATCTTCCTTTGCATGCCCCTCACTCAGAATCTGATGCTTACCCTAGGCCCTGTTCATCATCATCGGCCTCTTGACAGGCTGCTATTTTTGTTGCTGCCTTTGCTGCTGCTGCAACTGTTGTTGTGGACATTGTCGACCCAAATCATCAACATCAGAAGAGGACTTCTACGTGTCACCAGAGGACCTTGAGGAACAGATCAGGACTGACATGGAAAAAGGTAGGGTAAGTTGAGAGTAGGGGTCATGGGCATCATGTCAGAGATCCAAGTGGATACAGGGTCTTCCTAAAGTAACAGATCCAATGACCACAGGGTCTTCCAAAATAACAGGTCCAATGACCATACAGGGTCACTCCCCCAACTCTATCAGCTTTAGTGGATATTTTGGAGAAGATAAAAGGCATCTACCTTGACTGAGCATAGAGAAAGGCTAAACATTAATAGAGAGAAATAATTAAATGCCTGTGTCGATGTAAAACAAGTACCGCTTTCCATCTCTTTACAAGAGAAATGGTCTCTGGGTTCAAGGAAGTTAGGGTGAGAGTGTCCAGTGCTGGAAAGCTAATGTAGTTGATTTTTTTTAACTCTTTGGGGACCCACCACCTAGATCCCAAATAAATACATGGACACTTATTCTTATGAATGCTTGGTCTTAGCTTGTTTCTAGGCAGCTTTTCTTAAATTATTCAGTCTACCTTTTGCCTCTGGGTGTTTACCTTTCTCTAGTCTATGTCTTTCCTTACTCCATGGCTGGCTGTGTGGGTGAGTGGCCGGCTCCTGGTGTCCTCCTCTCCTCGCTCTCTCCCTCCACCCTCTTCTATTATTCTCTTTGCCTGCCAGTCCCACCCATTCCTCTCTCCTGCCTTGCTATTGGCCCCTCTTTATTAGACCAATCAGGTTTTTAGACAGGCAAAGTAACACAGCTTCACAGAGTTAAACAAATGCCGCATAAAAGACTGCAACACATCTTTGCATCGTTAAACAAATATTCCACATTATAAAAAAAATGTAGCACATGTCTCCCCTCTGCTCAGCCACCTCTGTCTGTCCATTTGTGTGCACACATCTCCACTCTGTTCAGTCACCTTTGACTGTCTGTCTGTCTGTCTGTCTGTCTGTCTGTCTGTCTGTGTGCATACAATTCTGCTACATTACTTTATTTTTCAAGTTCATACTATCCAAAATAAAAACAGTAAAGAAGATCTCACAGAATTCAGAGCACCAGAGATATTTTATGGTCCTGGACAATGTCTTTGTTTAAGCAATCTAGGATCAAGCCATCCATTGTATTGCTGTGTCTTGAGGCCACTCTTGCTGTCGCTTTCTCCTGTGGAATACGTTATGATCTTGGGGTGCAGACTTCATCACTCCCAAGTCCCCCCAAACAGCTGAAGGGATTACTTAATGACTGAAAGAAGCTACTGTCTTCAGGTCTGCTGGAACCAGAACGGTGCACTCTCCTGGTTCTCTGGTCACACTAAAACAGCACCAGAGACTGTTGAAAGGCTTCTGTATGCCTGTATTTCCCATCAGATGTAACGCTAAGTAACATATTGTGTGAATGAACCATACAGACTCCAGCAAAAGGATGTCTTTAGTCATGCGAATAGTACTGAATCCCAGACTCTCAGAATTGGGAGCTCAAAGAGGGCAGAGGGCTTTGTTTGTTTGGTTTGGTTTGGTTTGGGTTTTGTGGGTTTTTTTGTTGTTTGTTTGTTTGTTTGTCTTGCTATGGGCATGGAAGTATTCTGATCATGTTACTGATGTTGAAACCTAACTGTGGCCTGATGGGGAACTACAATGGGTGTACTTTTTTTACCTTGTGTTATTTTGTATAGACAGCGACAAATATTAAATCTTTTATTGAGGATGTACAAAATGAACAGACATTCAGGAGCAGTAACAAATGAATTAGGCAGCGATAATTACATGGAAAGGCCTTCTCATTAGGGAAAGGTGGTGTCTGTGTCACAACTCGTTCACAAGTGACGATTACAGGGTAGGGGTCACATGCTCTCTTGTGAGGGAGGCGCTTAAGAATTAGGAAGAAAATGCCACACTTCATTTCTGTGGTTATAACTCATTTTCTCTGGGTGTAACTTACCAGGAAAACCAGCAAACTGACCTTTAATGAAACCGAAATGTCAGTTTCTACAAGGGAAGAGATGGGGAACGTGGGTGGTCTCTGGGCTACGGTGTGAGGTCTCTGTGGGTGCAGTATTATAAAACCATGTCTCCCTGACCACATGACCTATCACCCTGCTATGCCCATCAGTCATCCCAGTGCTCAGCCACTGACAGCACAGGGAGGGACAGTGAAATGACAGCCTCAGCTGTGTGTTGACTTGTCTTAACTTTTTTAGCTTTATCCTTTTTAATCTAGGCCGAATCAGTTCTACATCTGAATTAAAATGCGAAGCAAGGAGTTTCGTTGTGGTGTTTTCACACACGTCATGGCACTTCTAATTCTTCCTACCTTTTTATTTGTAGCAGGAAAACCTAAATTAGGTGAACTGAACCCAGATCTCCTGAGTCCAGCATACACACTTACTGAAAAGCCTTGCTGCCCTTTCTCCGTTGAGTTGGATAAAAAGCTCCGGCAGGTCATTTCAGTAGACCTTGGTGGAAGATCTCTTGTCTGGAATAGAAACTTAGACTAGGTGCCAGCTTCTCCCTGGGGCTCCTCCTGCTGGGTGATTGGTGATGGGTCTGTGCTTCTCTCCCCGTCCTGGTACCCCAGAGTTACCGACTGTATTACAGAGGTCAGACCTGACATCTACACTACTACAGTGAAGAAGGGAACAACATTTTCATATTTATAAATATTTGAAAGGTCTTATGCTAGGGAGACCCAGGTTTTATGGAACCTGAAATTTATGTAATCTTGGCAGGCCTCTTTAAAAAGACACACTTCTGTCTGAACTTGAGTATTTGCTTAAAATGAGAGAACGGAATCACAACAAATTAATGTGCTTAAAAATGGACAAATACCAGCCGGGCGGTGGTGGCGCACGCCTTTAATCCCAGCACTCGGGAGACAGAGGCAGGTGGATCTCTGTGAGTTCGAGACCAAGCCTGGTCTACCGAGTGAGTTCCAGGACAGGCTCCAAAACAATACAGAGAAACCCTGTCTCAAAAAACCCAAAAAAAAAAAAAATGGACAAATACCATGTATGTCACAAAATCAGAGGGGTTAATACAATTATGAGCTACCCAGCTCATCTATATGGCATTTTCCTATGGCTGCATATTCTTTGATTGCATATTCATGAAAAGTAAATGTACTATATCATTTTCTGTAGAAAACCTAAAAATGATTCTGCCTTTACAGTATTTGACCAAAATTTACTTTTTTATCACTGATGAATTAAAAACATTTCTTCTAGCTTTACAACTCACATTGACATTACAGATTATTGTCAAATTTGGGAGGCCTATCTAGTTTATTTAATAATGTAAGATTTGAAAGAATTTTCCATAGACAACTTCTTTTTAAGCCTTATTTATTTATTATTTATATAGTGTTCTGCCTACATGCCATGGGAAGGCACAAGATCTCATTATAAATGGCTGTGAGCCACTGGGCGATGGTGGTGCACGCCTTTAATCCCAGCACTCGGGAGGCAGAGGCAGGCGGATTTCTGTGAGTTCGAGAGCAGCCTGGTCTTTGAGACAGAAACCCTGTCTCAAAACAAACAAAACAAAAAAATGGCTGTGAGCCACCATGTGATTGCTGGGAATTGAACTCAGGACCTTTGAAAGAACAGCCAGTGCTCTTAATCTCTGAGCCATCTCTCCAGCCCCACACAGACAATATTTACTCTGCACATTTCAAACCTTGTTGGCATTACAACACCTAATCTCACTGGGGTCAGAGCCCACAGGACACATTAATATGATGTGTCGCAGTCTCTGGTGTAGATTTTAATGTCGCCCCAGCACATGCATTGGCATAGTGAGATATAGAAGTATTCTTTAAGCCATTCCTACACCTGTCTAGGTAGCAATAACTAGCTATATCCAGATTTGCTGCAAAATCAAGTCCCATTGAACTCAAACAGAATTCATCTCCAATTCAGTTTTCCTCTAGCCAAATCTCTTAATAGGTCTTTTGTATCCGTTGTCAGAAGGAGGTATCACGAGAGAAGCCAGTGTGGAAGGAGACAGGGCTTTTCCTGATTTGGATGTCTTTGATCCCAGTCTTTGCTCTGTATAGGGTCTCTGGAACTGAGGTCTCACTAACTGTGCCCTGAGTCCACCATGGCTCTCTAGTGTAAACGCCTGGTAGTGATGCTATGCTTCATTTGTGACCAGTTGCAATAGTTGAGTCCAGATTTACATTCCACGAATTCAGAGATGCAAGTAGCCTACTGGCAATTTTACTGTAAATTAAGACTGGTGAGGTGGAAAACCAGACCGTATCTGAGGACCTCACTCTCTGATCTGTGTCTGAATGATGGTGGTACTGAGCACATTTCCCTGGGAGGGGAAGGAGTGGAGCTAATTAACATAAGATAAAATAGTGTGTGGAGTAATAGGGTAGCATGGGGTTTATATCAACTGTTCATCTAAGTGCTATACATCTAGTTATCCATTGCTTAAAGATTTGACCCATAAATGAAGGTTATGTCCAGAAATTTATTTTTTGTGCATGAATACTGATTTTAAAAGGCAGCGTTTCTTTCTCCTGTTATTTCTTCATCCAGAAATGCTGAAATATGAAATATAATGAAACTTAAGTGAGGCTTTTCTCCTTCCAGGATAAAAGTTAACAACTGCTGGACTTTTCCCTTATACCTTACTATACCAACCAAAACCAACCAAAAGGAGAGCAGGAGTTAGCAAGAATTGGGACTGCATGATCCTTCCCATCTTCCATGGTTGGCTTAATCTTGTACAAGTCTTGTAAATGCTGCCACACCACTTCGAGTTCATATAAGCAACAGTTCTGTCAAGTCCAGAAAGTATTGTTTCCCTGCAAAAAGTCTACTACTTCTGACTCTTAGAATCTTTCCAACTCGCTTTAGCAATGATCCATGAGCCTTGGAGAGATGGTGTCAGGCTCTAATGCAGTGGTTCTCAACCTTCCTGATGCTGCCACCCTTTAATATAGTTCTTCATGTTGTGGTGACCCCCCAACCATAAAATTATTTTTGTTGCTATTCCATAACTGTAATTTTGCTACTCTTATGAATAACAATGTAAATATCTGTGTTTTCTGATG